CTCTCTCTCTCTCTCTCTCTCTCTCTCTCTCTCTCTCTCTCACACACACACACACACACACACACACACACACACACACACACACACACGGCTGTGGCATCCTGCCTAGCCATGACTGCCATTCTCTCTACCTATGGCTACAAATCTTCCTCTCCGTCTGTGGTGTGGGCGCTCTCCTCTGAGAGCTGGTGGAATTCACCTCAGCAGTTGCGCTCAGCAGTGCATGTCCAAAACTTGGTGAGGTGGGATATACTGTTTCGACTGGCCTGGCTTGCCTCTTCGTGACTTGGATGGAAGGCCAAGATACAGCCTGCACTGACCCGGGCGAGCCTCTGCGTACTTTCCTCTGTTCTGGGTTGGATTTTCCAGGCTCTGGGGACTCTTTCTGACGTGCTGCGCCTCAGAGCTCTTCACTTGTGGATGTGCCTGAAAGGCTCTACAGCTTGAATTCCGACTCTTAACTTTGACTAAGCGAAAACAAACACTACCACCCATCAACCATTTTTCAACTTTCATCGGTGACTGCGTATCACTTCTGACGCTGCGCCTGAGAGCTGTCCTGGGGCTATGATTATCTCTCTGTTCATCGGTGACTGCGTATCTATTAAAAATAGGGATCAGAGGAATAGATGTCAGTGTTAATTGTCTAACTAGAGCCTGTCTTGGGTATAACCTTGGCTTGGGTATAGCATGGGTATAGCATGAACCAAGTGATGGTGAACCTTGGCTTGGGTATGGCCAGGGTCTTGCAGAACCTTGGCTTGGGTACAGCATGAACCAAGTGATGATGGGTGAGGTTGTGCCGCTGAAGGTCGTGGGTGAGGTAACGCTGGACCCAGACACGGGACTAGTGCAGACTTATGGGCGGATCTGTGTCTGGACTGCTCCAGACCGTCCGGATTGAAATATATAGCCCTTTTTATTTTTCTCCTTGGATTTGGCTACGGATTTCGAGATGCTCATTCAGCCAAAAGATATCTGTATTGCAATGCAGCATAACATATCTTTTCTTCAGATGTTTTTGATTTTATTTCTTAATGCGGATTTTTTTTGGGGTGGTGGTGGGGTGGGATGGATCCGGACACTCTGGACCGGGCACTGGACCCGGATATCATCCGGACCCAAGCCGTCTGCACTGCAGTCCGGATCTCCGGATCGTAACCATGGATCTGACCGTTCCTTGAAGTTGTCTCTTTCGAGTCTGTCCTTCACTAAGCGAGTGACGACGATGGAAGAATGAGGTGCTTCCTTCTGGCTTACTCTCTGAAGATCTGAATGTTCGTTGGAACTTGGAATCGTCGTTTTCTTCCCTGTGGTTCATGCTCGGAAAGCCTGATGAGTCTGTTTTGTGCGTCTCTTTTCATTCTAGGTACATGAGTGGGAAGTTGCTGCTGAAGCTTGATGCTGTCAACTTCATCTTGGCACATCATACGGTAGGTCTTTTGACTCGTTTCCCTCAACTGGACTTTTTTTTTCATCACAAGGTAGTTCTTTTTGGCGAAATGCCGACCGGTTTGGTTTGTCCTCTGTACAGCGAAAAATTAAAACACGTCTCACATTGCTGGGAGTGACACCTTTTCTATGGGAATAAATGTGAGAACACAGTTAGACTGAGTTAGGCACACTCGTATTACTCGCACTACGACCTTTTTACGTATTTTTGGACGGAATTGTGGCCTGATACATGCAGGTATGGCAGTAAATGCGGTAACATACGTTTGAGATCCTGCTAGTGTGAGTACGCCTTTGCACTTAGTATGGAAAATTTGTTTAGTGGTTCTGCATTTGACTCGGACAGAAGTCAACTCGTCCTTCATCGCCAGCTCATGTCTCTCCCTTGTCATTGACTGTCGTAACTTGCAGGAATTTCCGACTGTTTCGACTAGGCAAATGTGTGTACTGGAGTCCAACCATTTTTTTCACCGTTACATCATCATCATCATTTACGGGCAGGATGTGTTAGGTAAACCGCCAGTACCTTTCCCAGGCAACAATAAAATGCCGTCCGGTTGACACGGAGGGCAGCCCGGTGCAGGCGCACCGGCCAGATACATCCCCAATGCTCCGCGCGCAGGGCCCGCGGCCGACATATGGGAAAGGGACTGGCGGCTTAAGTTGGCAAGGCAGCCCGCTATGTCCCCTTAGTGCATACTGGCACTGGCACTTCTCTATCTGTATCTGACCTTGATTATGGCCAGGCGTAAATGCATCTGACCGCAATCATGTCCCAGAAAAGGTAAAAGAGTGCTGGTCTGAGTATATGCCCTTAGTTGATCATAACAATATCGCAGAAATGCGGTAAGAACCCAAATATACAAAAACAGAAAGCCTTCGTCCTTTATACTGAATCGAATCGAGCTCGGAATCCAGAAAAGGATAGGAATATTCATGATGGGTAACCAACCACCCAAAAATAGGAAAAAAAGAGTCGGAGATGGATGCGTTCAAGAACTTGCTGTAAGGAATTTGCATTTCCATTGCTTGATGACTACGATTGCTACTTTTCACATCGACGATGGTGCTGGCATTTAAATGTAAGTGTTTGTATTTTTGTGGACAAGGAGGACAGGCCCGGCTGGTAGGCAAGTAGGGGGCGGGGGGGGCGGGGGGGGACCATTTCTCAATTTATGTGTGCCGTCCTTGGGCAGGGGCTATGCGAATCCTCTTTTGTGTTGTTCCCTTTTTAACGTATGTGCCGAAGGATGTGTCAAGGTTTTCAGCACAAGGGCACAACAGCGAATGGAGCTGCATACTGTGGCGACGCAATGCACAGGTTACCTAACTTTTTATATCTGAGGATTCTGTCTGAGGATTGATCGTGCGTTGCATTCAGCTTGATCAGTTGCTCTGGGGTGTTCACCATCGCCCACTTAAAACAAAGCCGTCGGTCATTCTCTCCAACTTCTGTATTGTCTATCACCGACTATCCGGAATATCGGTGACTTTCAGCTACGTCAGTCCTGAGAGAGAGGACTCCACTGTCTTTTCGTGAGTGGGTAGTGATTTTTTATTTTTAAAACAGCACTCCAGTTTCCATGCCTGAGTGAGCATGCACTTTTGGTGGTAAGGAATTGATAATTCATGCTTTAGCAGCTTTAGCAGGTGCTATTCCTTGTGAATCTGAGCATATGTCTATTGTTAGATCGGCTCTGCTTGAACGGGTTTGATCATGCATTGTACTGTTTGTGATGTCGTGTCCAGAGAGAGTACTTCCCTTTCCTGAGCGAGTGCGCATGTTCGAGGAACAGAACCACTTTCTACTTCACACTTGGAAGGCTTCTGTTCATGGAAGATTCTCCTGCGAAGTTCAAGGCATTCATTGCGCCTCTTCAGCAGGTTTGCTGCCATTCTTGTGCACACATTGTCGCCATGTCGTGTGTTTGGTAATCACGCCGGACGTAGAGATCCCGAGCAGATGATGTATAGTCGACCTTCATTATCGATCCTCTTTCGCTCCAACTGCACTCCAGGCTGCTTCGGTTATGCCCCGTTGGTTCATGATGATATGAAAATGATTAGATGCCTCTGTTCAGGAAACTGGCATCGGGGATTCAATGACCCAGCACGCATCTGGACTTGACTCCGGGACTACGTCCTTTGTAAAGGGGGGTGGGGGGGGGGGAGGAATGAACACCTCCGGGAGGCTTCTCGAGGACTACCTCCTTTTCGAACCGGAACTCGAAAAGTCCGGGAGGGGATCGTATGTGCATCTCTGTGCCAGAGCAGGAAGTGTGAGCTCATGCTGCCTGACCTCCTTTCTCATTGACACAGGTGCAGCTAGTCTAGGTGGCACATACCGTGTCTTTGTGGGACACACTACAATTCAATGGTTTCTGGAGCCATGTGCGCATATCCTCCCCCCCCCAGCAGGAACTGATTACGTTCGTCCCTGGAATACAACGTACGGTCACTACGGTGATTATAGCTGTATTTATTCTGTTCATCTGATCGTGGCTGGGTTCGAACTTGGGTCTGTACTTCAACAGTTCATTGGGAGTACCAACTGAGCTAGGCCCGTTGGTGGATGGAAGACTTTCAGTAGATTTTCCTACTTTTGTGCGATAATCTCATCGGCTGAAGCACTCCTCAAATCGCGGAGTGTATAGAAGACGTCATGATCCTCGTTCACAAAAGTGGCAGTTACTTTTTTGATTTTTTTTTCCCTGTTGTAGAGACCTCTGTGCCATCAGATCATTTGTGATCAATGGCCGGGAAGCTCAGCTCCGTGATCTCAGGGTGTGAGGTCTCTATTTCTTCTTTTTGTTTTTGGTGCCTGTTTTCTCTGCCCAAAAATTTGTAACAATACCTTTTTCGGTCTTTTCAACCTTTTGACTAAAAATAGATAAAGTGAAATGTATCTGTTCTGCATCTTCTGATGAGTTTAATATCCGACCGTGGTCCATCGGGCCACATTAAAAAAAATAATAATAAATAACGGTGGACGCGGCATGTTTTGAAACCGTGAAGGCAAAAGAAAAACTTGCGCCGGCAAAGAAACCACGAGCCAACTTGAAATGAGTGATTTTGGTCCAAAAGTATCCATTGCGCTTTTTTTTTTTTGTTTATGTTTTCCCTCTGACACCACGGCCGAACCCTGTAAATATGACACCCGGTCTGACACCCCACAGCCATCCATACTTCCTTTGCCTTTTTGAACTTGGCGTGGTTTTCTTAGCCGACACGTGTTTTTTTCGCCTTTTCCATACTCAAAGGTGACATGAACGTACTTACCTGAAAATTAAATAAAAAGAAATTATAACATAGTTGCGGTGCACCAGTGCGCAGTGCGGTGCGGGGCGGTGCGCACTGCGCTGTGCGCTGGAATGACAGTGTGCACCGTGCCCAGTGCGGTCCGCTGTGCGCGGTGCATGCGCTGAGGGAGGTGCGCTATGTGCGCAATAATATATATTTAAAAAAAAAAAGGCAGGCCCAGAGAGAGAGAGAGAGAGAGAGAGAGAGAGAGAGAGAGAGAGAGAACAAAGGGTCTCCTTCACGTCAATTCGAGGGCCCCTGCAGGTACCTCGAATGGCTTCAACAATACATGTGGAGCCATTGAGGGCCACTGCTTCAATGAGAAGGATGGCCTCGTCATGTGTGGAAGAGATGGGGGCAGACCACCAATATATGCTGTGGATTCGAGTTCAGGGCTGTAGCTCGGCAGTTATGGGTCACCAATTCACCTAGACCCTGTTTGTGTCTCCACGTGATTCTCAGGGCCTCCCTCCACCACTCACCAAATGTATATAATATTAGTAGAATGAATGTTCTGCTAAAACATGGACCCATACATCGCCATCTGCTTTCTTTTCTGCATTTGGTGAGTAGTGGAGCAGGCCCCACTGGATGATTCGTTAGAAAACAAAAACGAAAAAAATGAGAGAGCCACTGGCATCTTCATCCTAACCCATAACTGCTGACGTGCAGACCTGAACGCCAATCTTCAGTATATATCGGTGGTCGGCTGGCCAACTTGTGACATCTGCAAAGCTTTGCGGGGCAGGTCGTTATTAGGCGATTACCCCTTCTTGCGAATTTACCCCACCACTGTGTTGGATTTATAGAAGGGAGCGGGAAGGACAGCATCCATACCCCGCCTAAAAAAAACTTGGAATGAGCCCTATTTTACGCTTCGCCATTCTGAAACTTTTGGGGGAAGGGCCTGCGGAAATCGAAATTTGGCAGCCCTTACCCAAAAGAAAAATTTGGGCCGGGGGCGCGGCCGTCTTTCGAGCTCGCACGGTGAGTTTAACATTTTTGCCGAGTTGGGGGCCCTAAGAAATTACAAAACCCCTTACGTATTTTCTTTTTTTCTTGGACCTAATTTTTCCAGTGCGCTGCTGCGCTTAGGTGTGCTGTGCGCTGCGCTGCGCGTGGTGCCCAATTCGTGCGCAAATCCGCGCACCGTGGTGCGCCGCAACTATGAATCATAATGAACCTGTCGTGCCCCGACCACACAGTGTCAAACTGGACCCTTTATTAAGTGCCACCATCTTCACCCTCATAGAATGCCGGGTCAATTTGGCTGCATCTGGACCGTAAGTTCCCCCAAATATGGCTGTAATGACTCTGGGCATTCTAGTCGGGTGAGTGAAGACGGTAGTGGTGGGACCACGATCCAGGTAAATTCAAAATTATGTTCCCTCATCTGGTCTGGTTCCATGGGAGTTCGAACTCAGGTGTGTGTTTCAGTGGTTCATGGGTGTACTTAGTACTACTAACTGAGCTGGGCCAGGTGGTCGGTTGTGATTTTTCGAATCGCAGGAAAGCAAAACGGTAATAATGGAGGAGTTTACAGCCAGAGCTCTTCCTAGCGGGGAAAAAAGAAAAAACAAAAACGGTATCGACCACCAACTGGCCTAGCTCAGTTTGTACACCACTGAACTGCTGAAATACAGACCTGAGTTCCAAGTATGGTTACGCCGGACCCGGACACCGGAGCAGTCCAGACATCAGGCCGGACCTGGATTTGTCTGCACTGCAGACCGTCCGGATAGGAAACACCCCTTTTTTAGGCTTTTTTTAATTAAAAAAAAGTTTTCATTTTTTTCCTCTTGGATTTGGCTACGAATTCTTAGATTCACAACATATCGTTTTTTCAGATATTTTAAATTTTTCTTGAAGTCGTATTTTTTTCGGGGTGGGAGTCGGCGCCACCTGGAACCGGACACTCTGGACCGGACACCAGACATGGACAGACCTGGACCGTCTGCACTGCATTCCGGACATCCGGATCGTAACCATGGTTCGAAGTCCACCAGAAGCAGATGAGTAAAATACACCAATTGGTCCAATTCTGAATTTTTGAATTACTTAGGGCCGTTCAGTTGCATGCTGATATCTCAAAGCTGTAGCCCTTTTTGGGAGGGGGCAAACTTGAAAAACGGTTTCTTTTGCGTCTATTGACCAGGTTATCAGCATGCACGAAAATAAGTGTGTTCCCTGCCATTGTTTTCCATGTCTGTGATGTGATGTAGGTACTCGTCTCCTTGAAAGAGACGCCTGATTCAATGTTCCGTTCGAAGGCAGTGGAGTACACACTCATCGGGTTGATGCGGGATTTGCGGGGAATCGCAATGTCAACAAACAGGTACAAATTTACGATGAAAGCAAATAAGTCCGAAAGTCGCAGGGAGCTGCCTAGCGCTAGTGGCAATCTGGAGGTAGGCAGAGAGGGAGGGAGAAGAGGGCAGCAAACGAGGGGCTTGACAAACTGTTTTGTCGGAAACTCCGACGAAACAGTTTGTCACAGCCCCTCGTTTGTTGTCCTCTTCTCTCTCTCTGCCTACGGTTTACCGGGCAGTTCTGTTTGTGACGATATATATATAGTCGGTGAAACTCCGACGAAACAGTTTGTCACAGCCCCTCGTTTGTTGTCCTCTTCTCTCTCTCTGCCTACGGTTTTACCGGGCAGTTCTGTTTGTGACGTATATATATATATATATGATGAAGAAGAAGAAGTTGAAGACGGGGAAGTAGAAGAAGAAGGGGTAGAAGCGTTCGTATCATTGCCCTCTTTTTTGTTATCGTCGGTCACCACTGGAAAGCAGGGACTGATCTGGCGCGGTCGGCGCATGGTTGACGAACGTTGTCGACGTGCCAGAGCAGGCTGTCGGTAAGATAAAGAACCCGGCAGATTAGCATCAACGCGACATCGAGAGGGGGCAGATGAATGGTTGACGAACGCTGTCAACGTGCCAGAGCAGGCTGTTGGTAAGATAAAGAACCCGGCAGATTAGCATCAATGCGACGTCGAGAGGGGGGAGATGAAGAAGAAGAAGAAGAAGAAGAAGAAGAAGAAGAAGAAAACGAAGAAAAGGATGAAGGAGAAGAAGAAAAAGAAGAAGAAGAAGAAGTAGAAAGAAGAGGAAGTAGAAGAAGACGAAGGGGAAGAAGAAGAAGAAGAAATTCTCTTGCCTCTGTGAGGTTTGGTTTCCTCATTTTCTTTACCTCTTTGCCTTTTGGCTGCATGCAAGTGGGTCCTTGCGACTCACGGGGATGAGGGCAGCTGGCACTCAACCTGTCATCCACGTGGCCGGCCTTGTACGTAAGCGGTGATGAATAGGCGGAGCTTTCCTATCTTCCTTCTTTCCTTTTTTTGTTTTCTCTTTTTCCGCCTTTGCACTCCGATACATGGTGTGACGATATATTTGGCCCGGGCGGACAAGTGGCCCGGGGGACCATGTCCCACTTACTCCGTTGAGCTAGGTCGACATTTAGTTTTCGACCTTGTGTGATTGTAGGCGACCACAGAGATGCACGTAGTCCAAGCGATCTAGCGGTCGGTTTTTAATAAAAAAGGCCATAGAGACTATCGTCGCTTTTTCTTCCAACAAAAAGCAGAGGTAAATCCTACAAGAAAGGCAATAGAGACCATCGTCGCTTTTTCTTCCAACGAGAAGCAGAAGTAAATCCATTCGTTTGAATACTAGACCCCCTACCCTTGCGACTCTCCGTTGAGTTAGCTGTCTCCTTTTTTTGAGACAGCCACCTCAATCACCCTCTTGTTCCCCCAAAAGGCATTTTCCTGGAGAAACTGTATGAGCCTCCTTCCGTTCGCCATTTTTGTACGGGATTCTGGCAACTCTTCATTTTCGGCTGTGGAAGTGCCCGTATGCCGCTCCAATTGTGAAAAAAGAGAGAGAACAATTGTATCGGCGCCATATATTCTTATTTTCTATCCAATTAAAATGAACAGTTTCAGCTGTCACACTGTTGAGTTGCCTCAACTAAACGGTGCAAGTGGGACATGGTCCCAGGTCACTCTGGTAGCCTAGTTTTAAATAAAATTTTGTTTGATTTTTATTTTAAATTCGGTAAAGAATGTCGATGCGACTCTGAGGCAAACGTTGATCGGTTTGTTTTTCTGCATAACGTTTTTTTTTCAGATTTTTTGGATTTCGTTCTAGGCTATTTTTCCAGGCGCCCGGGCACCCAACTTGTGCCCGGATACATGCCTGAGTGTCTGGCCGGGCATTACCCCCGGGCAGGGTTCCGGGTAGCCCCAGCGCAAAAAAAAAAAAAAAAAACGAAAGTCAAAAAATTCCAGAAAAAAAAAAACATATGTTATGTAGAATTGTAATACAAACAACTTTTGGCTGAGGGTCACATCAGACTTCCTCACCGAATCGGAGATAAAAACGAAAATAACAAAATCACACTAAGGCACCCCCCTTTAAACCCCCTTACCCCCTCTAAAACAAATTTTTACCCCCCTTCCCCCCCCTTGAAAGCCAACTCTCAAAAAATGAAAAGAGCCCAGTTTGGGGATCCTCTGGGAGAGCGCAGAAAGGCTGGAAAAGAAAAAGAAAAGCACGCCCGGGTACCGTGGGCGTCACGCCCATGTGCCCGGCCGGGCATGAAAATCTTCCTAGATTTTGCTTTTTTTTTTTTTTTTTTGGATTTTCATTTTTTTTCCCTTTTTTCTGGGACCTTCTTTTGGTCTTTGCACAGCCGGGCTGCCCGGGCAAGCAAGGTGACCCGGGCGGCCCTGCTGGTAGCCTATGTGCATACCCGAGTTTGCCTGCCCGGTTCTTGGGCATAAGCACAATTTTGGGCTCCCCAATGAAGGGCCTATGCAAATGGGTACATGTATAAGTTGGACAGGGTCTGCGTAGAGATGCAAATCGGGCACTGAGACTGGGTATGGCAGGTAGTCCCATCTTTAAGAGGGGTACAGATGCAATTGCGAGGATCTGGGTCCTCGGCAGGCCTAAGGGGCCTCTTGCTGCAGATGTGTCCCCCCTAAGTGAAGGTGGTCCTAACAAATCACGAGAGGCCCTAAGCTGTCAATATCGTATTTGGGGTCCAGGCAGTTATCGTCGCGCCAGTTGGTTGAGGGAAACACAGGCCGAGCAGCGAGACATTCCACAGCCTTCCAGGCCTTTCCAAAATGATGCAGGCGCTGGACGAGGCAGATTATAGCTTTGTAGGAAGTAGGCTGGGCGCCGAGTTTAAGTAGGGAGATAGGGCCTGGACACTCATGTTGGTGGTGGCGAGAGCTAGATCTCATTGACATTGGTTTTCAGTGTTACGAATCTTCGTTGGTGTTATCTGCTTTCCGGACACTGCGATACTATCTGGCCTTCAATGTGATTGTGCATTCTGGTCATTGTCATCTCGCTACTGCTCATTTTCCTTGCAATTTGGTATCGGAGCTGGTTCGAACTGCGCTTAATTGGTTCTTCGTCATAGCTGTTTGGTGCTTCGCTTGAGGTGTGGGGCAGTGATAAGGCTTGGGCGTTGAACAGAAGACGGCCCAGGGTCGTGTGGGCGTGCCAGGAAGCTATGTGGTGACATTAGGGGTACGCTTGATGATGAGAGCTCGCTGATGTGGCATGTAAGCCGAGGTGGAACTGCATTCTGCTGTTGGTTGTGCCGAGGCAAAGACCGGTCATCATAAATGCACATCAGGTTGCCGGTGAGAAATCTGTGGTTGGGGGCAGCATTATGAGGTACGTTGCTCAAGGTTGAGCGCTCTCTGAGTTCTGTCTTGAGAGTCCTCTCATTGTGAGGTGTCGCGAGCCCTCAACCTTGAGAGTCGACATTCTTCCTAGGCAGCAAGCTGGTGGGAGACGGCCGAAGCACTCGGGTCACGGTCACCATGCCAACCCGCTGGGACTAGTACCACATGGTTTGCCGCAAGTCCTTGGTTCTGCTGCTGCATAATAGAGGTCATGCAGGGCATACCAGCCCTTTGGACAGACGCTTACCAGACCGTCTTTAAATATTTCTGGCAGGGAGTAGGTGTTGGTTCTGGCTGTGATCGTCGTCCTATCTGCGACATTAAATAATTCCTGAGGACCTTGGAGGCTGTCCTTAAACTGCCTCTTGATCAGCCAGATCAAACCGGGTGTAAGGCTTGTTGCATGCGAGGATAAATAAGGTGCAGGGGCTGGCAGGTTCGGCGTAGACTTGGGGCGCAGGGGTGGGCCGGATTGCACACCTGCAGACACGCTGCTCTACCAGATGCTTAGGATGTCAACACAAAGTGACTACTCAAGAGGGATACAGGGGGAGGGTTGGATTCCGGAAACTGTTCACTGAGGCACTAATCAGATAAACTGCCATCCAGCATACATCTCTGCAGGAAATATTATTTTTATTTTTGATTATTTAGTTGTTACGGACTTGACACACAACTAACAGACAGCTGCAAATAGATAGTAATCCTTGCTGCATGCAATCTGTTTCAGAGTAATCTGAAAATAGATCTAGTATTTCCTGTAAGACCTCACATTGATTGCTGGTTACCACTTGACTACTTCTTCTTAGGCTTACCAAATTTTAGAGTCAAACATTAACCGGTTGTGTGTCATGCTGAGGTAGGATCTAGTGTGGGTTCTAGTTTAGATTACACACACTGTAGCTCATGAGTGAAGCTGTCAATAGTGAGGAGGATGAAGAATTAGTTGAAGACCTCAGTGAGGAGGAGGAAGAATTAGTTGAAGACCTCAAGAGTAACTCATAAAACCGCTCTCAGTCGTCCACTCACCTTCCAGGAGTTAGGTCCGGGAGACGAAAGGAGGCTGTGAAGGGAAACCAGGGCAAGGGAGATATTGCGGAGAGCAAGAGCAGCTGCAGCTATTGCTAGGGCTAGGACCGAGGTCAGCACAGGCACAACTATCGCTACTTCTTCCACAATGTCACAGGCCGTGTCTCAGGCCTCTTCACCAAGAACGAGTCAGGGTACCCAAGGTATGGTTAGTCAATCTGTTGGCTCGCAAGTCAGCCAACAACCTCAACTCTCAGCAGAGGATTATGAGATCCTCCAAGCAGAAGAACTGCATAATGAGTTACAAAAGTAACTGAGAGAGGCAGCGGAGAGAAGGCAAAGGGCTATACTTAGAAAAGCTAGACTAAGGAGTAGGAGACAGGAGCTAAGCAAATTAGAAGCATTAGATGAGTCAACACTTTATCCTGCCATGCAAGCGCTGCTTAATTCGCTGTTGTGCGTAGCGGCAATGCAGGTGGTTCAGAAGGAAGTGCTGGCTGAACTAGTGGCAGGCCAGAAACAAATTATGGCTGCACTGCAGGCTCCTCGTCCTATGATGATGAGACAGCCTCATTATGCTCGGTCGCGGGTCCCTC